TATATATATATATGAAATGGAAAATTCCCTCACTCGGGAATTTAGAAGAACATCAATGGGTGTGTTTTTGTTTTTCTGACTAACTGCACGGTTACCGTAGCAAAACACTAATGTCATCCTGACACTTTTGAAAATATCAATTTTCTACAATGGCAGAAGACAAACTGTTGAAATATTTCAATTAATCATCATGTATTGAACATATTTTGTATAAAAACAAATATTTAAATAATGTTTTCTGATAATATCAGGGAAAAGAATAATAGATATGAAAGTACATTGGGCGATTACCTAATGAAGTTACCTAGGCTCGTCCCGGATAGCCTAGATAACACAAACTCCAGCCGCAGAAGCCTACGCAACCGATTACCTAACAAAATAGTTAAATAAATTTTAAAATTCATCTGCTAAACCTTTGGCAACTGAACTTACGAACAGCTATATCTCTTAAAATGCCTTTCAATTAAACTTCACTATCTCTTACATCTGCTATCATTCTAATTTTACAGTACAAACTTTATTTTCTTTTAAGCCTCATCATTTTTATTTCATTATTTTATTTGGATTCATAATAACAAAAGACATACATTACTTATAAATATTTTTGAAGTGTACATAATCTTTCATATAATTTCGAATAATGAATAATTTGTACTCATACTCAATATCTTTGCCTTGTTCTGTGAGGCATTATTTGATTACAACAATATTCTTTATGCTTGCCACAATCACAAGATACTAGATTTTAATATACACAAATAAAATACCTTTTAACAAGAGACCAATATCATTTTCAATAAACAGCTTCTTACAGTTTCAGACAATAGCTATCAAATACAGTAACCTCGCAAATCTCAGATGATCCAAATAAAATTCAAGATGGAGGGAAAATAAAGAAAATGAAGAGAAAGAAATGTTTATAGCACTAATTACTTCGGTGTATATCACAGATTTATGTAGTAGTAATTTTCACTTAGAGGAACTTGCAAAATCGATAATAAGCTTTTGCTGTACCGATGTGATATGATGATGTGATTACTATGCTACATTGCGTTGTCTGGCAATTCCACAGATGCATTTGTATATTACGGTACATTTTTTCAGATAATCCCAAGATTTCTGAATCCAAGCAGACCACACCCCCAATTAGTGTTGATTACCGGGATTCTACTGTAGATACAAAATCAATTGTGAAACTACTGCTTTATTTCCGAATTATCATGCACTTGTTGATCTTTTAAAAAGTAATACTGTTAATAAATAATAACAAATATCGTTATTGACTGCACCCCTACCGGCAAACTCCCAAAGAAGCTTAGCACAACATTCTTTTTCTCCTACACATCACATCTCCCACATGTCTTTCTATCATACTTGCATAATAAGATCTGTTAAAGGACTTTTACAATGAGCAAATTCCTTTTTGTTCCTAGCTTCACTTTTAATAATATGTATTCCAGAATACATAATAAACATGAACGAACAGTTATTATAAGATAATGATCTGATGAATGAAGGTGTGTTTACCTTTGCTCCTGCAGAGTAGCCTGGATCTCTGTGAGTCGTACTGTTGAACGAGCAGTCTTCAACTCAGCGGAGACACGAGTGCACTGCAAACTCCCCATTGTGTGGCCTTCTTCACCAAGTTTTTGGGCCTAAACATAAACAATATGTCATCAGTAAGAATATCCCACATGTGACCATCCTGTAAAGTTGAACTTCATAAGCTGTTGCTTTTAGTTGTATAATTCATTGTATTACAATTTTTTTCATTTATATATTTAAAATTTTCGTTATATCTTTACAATTATTTTGTATTAAATAAGCATTATTAATATCTAGAAAATGTAATTTTTATTTTTTAAACAACAAAACATAATCTGAAATTGCACACACTGACCTCTTCATTTTCTCATCACATTTCACCCTTTAGTCTATGTTCACATTCCTTTTTACACATATTTTTAATTGAAAACCTCAACAATATAATCTAGAATTTTTGATCCTAAAATGTGTGTTCAATTTTTTTTTGAGCTGCGCGCGCCCACACGCACACACACACAAACAAACACACAAACAAACACACACACAATCAGGATTAAGGTCTATTAGTGCTGTTCCAAAGGAAGCTACGATTGAAGCAGGTGGAGACAAGATATACATATATAATTTTGTATTAAAAAATCAGGATGAATGTGTATGTCTGTGTGTGCATCAGTCACTGTAAGACATGGAACTTTGTTGTAATGTGCAAAAAGGATAGCTTCTCCGTAGTCTCATTCATTCACATAATTTTTTGGCTCGCAACTACTACCTTGGTCAGCCTTCCTGTATTATTATATTTCCGAGCTGAAAAAACAGCTGAACTAAATCTAGTATATTTACTTTTAAGAATACAAAATACTGCAACAGCTTTATTATGAAGGATTCTTCCTATCTTTTGTTTCAATATTCTCAATACAAGTATAGGAATAAGACTTGCATATTGTTCTAATACTTAGAAACAGTTTCACTGCTTATATCACATTTTTTCCATAACACAATTTTATTTTCGTATATTTTATAATTTAAAAAATTTAAATTAAATTGAATTAACAATAGATGGTACATGAAGGGTACACAGGAATAGCGATTGGAGTTCAGTTTTGAAGGATGTACGGAAAATGATTTTTCAAGTTTGAATATTGTACTTAGCGTTTTATTTTCAATAAAATTGGAATTTTTTTGGGGGGTAGTTCATTGAAATAGTGTTTCTAAACAGATAAAGCGACTTTTTACAAGAATGAAAACAGCAATTAAAACCAAAGACGTATTTCACTAGGAAAAAAATGATCGAAGTCCGGAACCGACTTCTTTCACTCATCTTCATCTACTTTGCAGATATTAACCAACAATGAATTGAAGTACAGTAAAGCATCTCGGATACAAAATGACTTCAAAACTTCCAGATCATTACATTTTGCTTGAGGGATGTCAATATGTTAAAGACGACTTAAGGAAGGAAATGAGATCTACAGTCTCGAGGAAAGTCAATGAGAGAGAGGAGGAGAGAGAGAGAGAGAGGAGAGAGAGAGAGGAGAGAGAGAGGAGGAGAGAGAGGAGGGAGGAGAGAGAGAGGAGGAGGAGAGAGAGAGGAGGAGGAGAGAGAGAGGAGGAGGAGAAGGAGGAGGGAGGAGAGAGAGAGGAGGCGAGGAGAGAGGAGAGGAGGAGGAGAGAGAGAGGAGGAGGACGAGAGGAGGAGGAGGAGGAGAGAGGAGGAGGAGAGAGGAGAGGAGGAGGAGAGAGAGAAGGAGGAGAGAGAGAGAGGAGAAGAGAGAGAGGAGGGAGAGAGAGAGGGAGGAGGAGAGAGGCCGGAGGAGGAGGGAGAGAGGAGGAGGAGAAGAGGAGGAGGAGGAGAGAGAGGAGGAGAGAGGAGGGGAGGAGAGGAGGAGGAGGAGAGAGGAGGAGTGGAGAGAGAGGAGGAGACAGCGTGAACAATTTTCTTTCAAGCATGCTTTCTTCAAAGGGGAGAATTTGGGTTCTATAAGCTTTTTGTTTGCACGCGGGGCTCTTGGGTTTTTTTTTTTTGTTTTTTAGGAAATTTTTTTCTTGACTACAATCTATCACAATAAAGGGTTCTTGGATTGATTCTTGCATTTTCAAATACTTGGTGCCAATCATCAGGCTTTTCACATACTGCTTTCGTATTAACTAACTCTGTAACTAGTATGTTTTTGTCGTATTCTAAAAATAAATGGCTGCTTACTGGGAATGTTATCTGGTTTCGATCAAACTGTACTTTTGAATGCACAAAAAAATGACAGAATCTAAAAAACGTTTGGCATCCCAGAGCCAATTGGACCACGGCCCATCAGCCCGGAAGACATGAAGAATATAGAATCTAAAAACACTGTAGTTCTTTCTCTGCCCAGAACAAGAATAACAAAATAGGCAGAATTCTTAAATAGTGTTAGTTATAGCTTCAGTAGAATAAGCCCATAGCACAGAGCAGACTTTAAGTGGATCTTTCTTTGAAATGATTTGATCAAACTGCAAAATACTGACTTCCCAGTAGCAAGCTTATGAATGTTAAGTGAATAACAGCTGTGACCAATAGTTAATAGTTGAAATGTTCAGAAGAGGTAGATTTTTCTGATAATCCATGGCAATTTTTATTCGTATTTCCAAATTTCACTGTTATTTCATTTGAAATCATAAAATTTGTCAGCCTTCCCTCTGTGTATTCATTTATAATAGTTAAAAATTCTTTCTTTACCAATTTTATATACATTTGTTTGGAATTTGTCACACATGTTACATAAATTCGACCTTGGATAACCAAAATCTATGTTATATTTAGTTCCAAAAATCAAACAATATTGATCATAAAATATCGGATCATTACAATATCTTTGTAAATACATATCGTGAAGTTTCTTGACAAGAAGCTTTTGTGACAAAATTCAATTTTTTTACTGTCGTGCAAATTATATTAAGTAGTTTGCTCCCTTAGTGACCCTATATGCTGATGAACATTGCATATTGTTTCCCCTTAAATGTATGTGGCTTATTACTGTTTTCCTCTGGTTTCTATATGTGATATTTTCCTGTAGTAGCTGGGATCTTTTTCAATTTGACAATTAGTGAGGTCGTGGATAGATAAAAATGCTTTGTGGCACACAGGTATTCAACAGATTTTTCAATTTTCACCACTAAAATGAGTAATTGTAAGAAAAATTGTGATCTTGATTTTTATTAGAATTTTTTTTCTTGGCTTCCTAAGCAATTTAGGTTTAACAGTGATCAATCCTGATAGATGTGCATTTTGATTGTCCTATACAACTTTCAGATTAAATTTTTGATCAATACATTTCTTTCCGAAAATATCATTTTGAAAAATTTTAACTGAACACTTAGTCATTTCTGGTGATGTGACTAATAGCTCAAATCCACTTTGAAGCATAACTATAAACTTTTCTTTTCTTAGAACTTGTTCCTGGTTTGGGTCTGTCAGTCAGCGTGCCAGTGTCTGTTAGTCAGCGTGCCAGTGTCTGTCTTTCAGTCAGCGTGCCAGTGTCTGCGTGTCTCCTCTCTATCTCCCTCCCCCCTCTATCGGTGTCTGTGTCTCTGCTGTGGTGTGCGTGCGTGTGCGTCTGTATGTGCTGCGTGCGTGTGCGTCTGTCTGTGCTGCGCGCGTATGCGTCTGTCTGTGCTGTGTGTGCGTATGCGTCTGTCTGTGCTGTCTGTGCTGTGTGTGCGTATGCGTCTGTGCTGTGTGCATCTGTGCCGTGCGTGCCTATGCGTCTGTGCTGTGTGCGTCTGTGCCTTGTGGGCCTGTGTCTGTAGCGTGTGTGTGTGTGTGTGTGTGTCTGTGGCGTGTGTGTGTGTGTGTCTGTGGCGTGTGTGTGTGTGTGTCTGTGGCGTGTGTGTGTGTGTCTGTGGCGTGTGTGTGTCTGTGGCGTGTGTGTGTGTGTCTGTGGCGCGCCCGTGCGTGCGCGTGTGTGTGTGTCTCCCCTGCTATGTTATTATCTCACAATTCAGATGGTATCTCCTGTCTGTTAGCTTGTAATGTTAGTTTCTTCTGCATTAGAAATCCACCCAGGAATACAGAGGTAAAGTTATCATTAGAAACTAAAAACCAAAACAAAACCTTTTTGTTGCAAAAGCATTTGCAACAAGTTCATCCTTCCTCATTCGACAGTATATTTTGCCATTTGGTGTAAATCAATTTCTAGAATCGCAGAACTAAAAACTTTTCACACCATATTTATGTGGCCATGATTTGCATCTCTTGGCTAGTATCTAATGAAGTCTGGAATGATAAGGAATGTATTCCTTTAACGTAATATGTTTCTTACATGTCACAAGGTCCGTTCAGGGAAAACAGACTACTGGGCCTTGGAGGTCTACTTAGTGAAAAGTACCTGCAGAAAAGTTGAAAAATATGGAGAAATGTCATGATTCACCGGACCATTCTTTGACATAAGAAAACAAATATAACAGAGAGTATCATGAAAGAACGCACCTGGAATGTTAAAGGAAAAATATTGACAGCATTAAGAAACACAGCTGGGTCTCTTAGGCCCATCAAGTGAACTGAAGGGTTCAGAACATGAACATCATTTTACGGAGTGGTCAGCCTTTTAAGAAAAAAATATTCTTTACTCACTTGTTTCTCAAGAGCTTCAGCAGGCCAACCACGAACATGATTAACAAGGTCATCTCTATAATGGTTGGCTAAACTAGGAGTAAGATGTGGGCCCTGAGGACGCAGGGCATGGAGTGAACTGCAGCTCCCAACTCCAGCTTGGGCAAGAGTCTGCAGAGAGCTTAAACTGCTTGGAGGACTCGCTACTGAAACATCAAAAGAAATATTTAACACAAATGGAAATTTATGATCTTGAATTAACGATATTACTCTTTACTGCAAACATGATAACTCATCACCTATCATAAGATAGCATGTCAATAAGAAGATTAATCCCAACTCTCTCTCAATTATTATTAATATTCAAGGGTAATTACCAGGGAATGGATTTATATGGACTAAAAATATATGAAATATGTAAATATATATGTAGTTAATTTTAACAAAATATGATCTTAAATATGGACTTAAAATGATAAAAAATGACTATGGTAAAATAATATTTTACGGTGAGTCGATAAACCTTAATCTTTAACTTCAAAAATATAATTTCTGATTATACACTGACTGGCAGAGCTAGTCTTGGCATTTTATATTGGTTTAATAGAGAAATTAATAGAACTGAACCAACACTTAGTATTTTGACTGAGCTGTAACTGACAATGAGCAGATGTACAAGTTGAATTCTGATGTATAAGTCTGCACGCGTTTTGCACGTAGCAGCCTCAGAAAGGACACTGAGTAGTGTGGATATTAAAACGAGGTGCATTTCCCACATACCAACGAGGTCTCAAAGTCATCTGACAATTCAACAATTCTCGTGCCTCTCCAACTAGCAGAACACAGACCCCTGAGACATGGTCTTAGGACCAGGGAAGGGAACTAATCTTCACATAAATTAAAACATTAATAGTTAAAAAACACACACACCCTCTAATGTTTAAGGAATTATTGAAAATTTTAAACTTTCTCTAACTGTTGAGATACATTTTTAATATTTAATGGAATTTCAGTGTTAAGCTTGATATTGCTGATGGGTGTGGACTGATTTTATAAGAAATATGGAAAATATATGGGCTTTTATTCAATTATGTACCAAAAACCAAAATAAGGAAAATAAACGTAGCATTTTTCAACTCTAAACATTGTGAAACATAAAGGTACTGCAAATTAGTATCAATATTTACTTATAAATTACAAATGAATTTACAAAAAAAAAAATCTGTTCTTGGTAAATACAAATTTGAACAAAACTATTCTTCACAATAGGAGTTTCATAAGTGATAAAGTACTACTATTCCAGCCCCATCTAAGAGAATATTTTGGGACAGCAAATAGTTACTGTCAATTACATGAAGCAGGGGAGGAGGGTCCTAAATGCATTAATACCAATGCACTTTTACAATCTTTTCTAGTGAGTATGAAGTTAATTTACATACTTAGGGAGAAGAAAAGGGACTGATAACGGAAAGGCTAAATCCTAATATCACCTCCTCAGATCGCTTCTCTTCAAAAGCAAGTTGATTATGCTGCATGCTTTAAGAACCAGACAAGGCAAACTAAACTTTGGAAACAAAAAGAAATGAAGCATTTATCTGGTATAATTTCATCATTCAGAATTGAGAATTTGCCACAAGAACTAAACAAATGAACTTCTGATACAGTTATCGATTTCAGAAAAGGTTTTAAATTATGAAGATATCACGAAGAACATAAGTATTTGTTATAATTTGAGAAGCTTTAGAGATAACAGTGTGTGCACTTCATAAGAAATAATGAATCGCAAAGCTGATTTGCCAACATCATACATCCTGAGGGAAATGTGGAAAGTTTACGGGATCCTGACCTTAGTAGGATTCAAATTCTAGTGCTGCTAGCCTCCATTTGGGTTATTTGCTAATTCAGTTACCACAGGTTATTTATACTACTTCAATATTTACCTAGACTATTTATAGTTATCCTTAACTAACACTTAAAAATATTTTAAAATTTAGCTGTTCTAGTTTATTTTTCATGTTACTGTGAAATTATTACAGTTTGATTAGAAGTATCTGGTAACGCTTCATTACTTAAAGCAATCCCAAGCTTCAAATGCTAAAACAATTAAATTTTCTGATGAACATTTATCCTCTGATAATCATTCCTAATATCAAGCCAATGTTCTATCTGTACTACTGTACTGACTCTTCAGTACATTTTTCAAGACCAATGTGTATTCGTTGTATTTTTAAAAGATCTACATTACTTGAGTTTTGTTCTTCCAATAGAATTAATCAAGCTCTTCACAATATCAACATTCATTTTACATGTGTGAATACAGGTTGAAATGACCCTATGCTGGAATAAAATGAAACGGCAAATAAAACTGGATCAAAAAAATTAATACGGTAAAAGTTCCACACAAATGCTACAGAAGAGATCAGCAAAGAAGGGGATGAAGATATAATTACTTCCCCTTTTATGTATTTTATTCTTTTGAATACAAGTGTAATCAATCTACAATTTATTTATCAGTGATTGAGATCTCTCCAGTTTCATTTTCCATTCTAATTTCCCCCTAAAATTGGTATTATCTACACATTTTACACTGAATAACTAATAATACAGTTGAATACACACACACACACAGACGTGTGCACATGCACAGCAGTTGATAGCAGCAACAGATAAAAAGATTGATATTCTTAGTTTAGTTAAAACGCAGTCTGTGGTGAATGAAACCATAACAGCAACAACACGCTCCCCTCATCCAACTCCTAGAAGTCCCTACTCTTCTTCATTCTTCGGACGTAAAAAGTCAATTTTTCTGCAAGTTTAATTCATTTTGCATCTTTTTCTATGACTGATTTTTCTGACGGAAGGCACTGCACTAGACCTTAAGGAGCAGCTGCTAATACTACATGATGGTAAGCAGTTTGAAACTTGCTGATAGTAAACAAGGGTGTCTAGAAGATTAAACGTGATCGTGGAGAAGATTAGTTTTCAACAGATCCAAACTATTATCAGTATTAGGATCTAGTTAAATGGAAAAATAACAACTTTTAAAAATAAAGAAGGCACGATGCACAACGACTGCAGAACTATTAATAGATGGTCATTCTTTCCATTACAAACTTCCTGGCCAGGAACACTTCTCAGTTCACATTTTATTTTATTTCAAACAATTCACACTTTGGAGAAAACATTACTGGGTAAAAATTTGGAAAATTATTATTTATCTTCTCCATCCAATTACTGTTTGAAATGAATAAAACAATTGAATGTGACATATTTTAATTAACTAAAATAAAACAGTTGTGGACTCCCACACAAAGAATACTACAAACTAATCTGATACGTTCCCTATATTAAACATGTGTCCACTTTACACAAGCACTGAAGAAAAAGTTTGTATGTGCTTCTGCAGATTTACAAAAAACTACGTGAAAGGTGTTAAACAACCTGCCTTTACACAAAGATAGAAACTTATTTTCACCTTCACAGATTCCCAATAATAGACCGCACTACTGATATTAAAATTCTGTTGGTTGAGCCTTTTTCTACGTAACATCTCAGATTCTCTTCCACTAACACATTGTGGGAAAGACGGAGAGACTATAATTCAAAAATGTGAGTACCTCAAGTTATCTTGTCAGATAATTTCACCTTGAAAAAGAGCAACATTAAAACTTTTTTACTTACAAACTAAGAAGCCTAATAATGAATAATTTCTAGTTTTATAATGATCTCCAAAATTTTCCAGTCTCAATTTTTCTTAAAATTCTCCAAGTTGTCTCTTCTTTCTCCAGTTTTTCAGAAAGTGGCCACTACTATTGAAATTCATGTCTGAGGGTGGATTATCATATCATTATTTTTAAAAGGTTATTTTAATCAAAACTTTCTTCCACTTTTCATACAATTTTTCACTTTCCCATGGCCCAGCACTCCAAAAAACAAGTAGCTTGAGACGGTTATAACTCTGAAGACAAAACAAATTTGCTACAATTTTGATCACACTTTCACTACTAAACGGCATGACAACTACATTAGCAAATATTTTAATTGTAAAACTGAAACATTCTTCATTAATAAAAAAAACTAATTTCGAAAATTAATGTAAACAAATACTTTTTTCTGTAAACTTTGTTGCCTTCAATACTAAAGGAGCACTGGCAGCGCTTGTGGATTTGGTGGGGAAAGGAGAGGGAAGTCAGGGAAAGTTGCCTATGCCTGCAACAGCACGAGGAGGGACAGGAGAACACCCATGAGGGTGCTGTATGAGGTGCCTGAGAAGTTTGTTCTACAAAGCAATCCACAGGAAAAATAAATTCAGTCAGTGATGGCAACTGTTTAACAGTTTTCTATCTATTACAGTGATGCATGAAGTAATATGAATCACCTCCTACAGGCTCTAAAATGGAGAAAAAAGTGGTGCAAAATAGAGTATATTCTAGAAACTGAGTTCATGTAACCGATTTAAACCTTAATACAGTCGTTTCAAGAGCATCTGTTTTGCACCTTTTTGCGTGTATTACATATAAAAATGTTTCTATTTATCAGAGATTTCATAAAATATAAATCCAGAACATACTTAATGAATTAAATTATTTTTTTAAACCTACAAAAATAATTTTTTTGAAATGAATGTTTCCACCCTAGACTATCTATTCTTCTGGCAAATTATATTGGAATATTTTAATACCTACTTAGAAGACTGAACAATTGTCCTTCAATATATATATGTACATTTCTTCAATAAGGGTTTTATGGAATTTCTGATTTCTAAATCAAATTTACAACCCAACACAAAAACAACACCAAAAAAAATTGACACTATTTGCATAGGAACCCACCATTAACACCAATTACAAATACAAAATTGAATGAAATATTGTCACCGTATGGGAACATACCTCTACGATTCAAGGAGACATTGCTAAGACCTGTGGAAGAAGTATTGGAGAAGTGAACAACATTATTAATTTTTAAAGTTACTTTTATCATCAGTATATTATTACGATTTATGTACAGAAGTGTGGCAATTAATGTGAACGAGTGATTTTCAAGGAATTAACAATTCAATATTTTGAAAACTTGAGGTGTTACATTAGTATATAGTATTATAAAAAAGGGTTAGTAATATTATAAAACTGCAACTTCCAACCAACTAACATTTCAGTCAACACTCCAAAATTTTCTTACCAAATGACGCACAAGTAGAAAGAAAAAAAATCACTTTTTGAAAAATGAAGTTTAAATAATAATGATGTTTTGCCATTGATTTCAAATGTTTTGTTCTTACAAAAATGAAACAAAATACTAAAAAACAGTCAAAGAAACATTCATGCGGGGATTTGAACCTGAGTGCTAGGAATGATGAGGCTTCTCCCAATGCTATTTAATTGTCAGATCAACTCTTTTCCTATTGCTTTCCCTTTTCCTATTAAAGGCACATGTACATGAATATTTTTTGCAAAAATAGATTTTTAAATTTTTCCACTAAAAATTTCTGCAATCTTTTCTGATCAAAATTATGTGTCCAGCAGCATTAAATGTCAAAGTTTGTTCCATTTTAATTCTTGTTCTACTGAAAATTTTTCGATGGAATAAATTTTGTTGCTATCGTTAGAAGCTCTGTTAGTCTGATGTCACCAGCATGTTGCAATGCTTTCTTGTTTGTTCTGTGTTTACTTTTAGTATCCTTGTGTTGAAGACTGATCAGGGGTTGGCGTAGTCATTCCCAAACTTTAAAGTGAATCTTACATTATTTTTTCTCTAAAAATTGCACCTTAAAGATTGGCAATGACTACGCCAACCCCTGATCAGTCTTCAACACAAGGATACTAAAATGTAAACACGCTCTCTGTCTCTCTCGCTCTCTCTCTCTGTCTCTCTCTCTCGCTCTCTCTCTCTGTCTCTCTCGCTCTCTCTCTCTGTCTCTGTCGCGCTCTCTCTCTCTGTCGCTCTCTCTCTCTCTGTCGCTCTCTCTCTTTCGCTCGCTCTCTCTCTCTCTCTCTCGCTCGCTCTCTCTCTCTCTCTCTCACACACACACACACACACACACACACTCACTCTCTCTCTCACACAGATTTATATATAGATAAGGTTCAGGACACTATTTACCGTAATGTAGATTACAATAAATGTTCACCATTAAAAACAAACTTAAAAAAATCTGCAATTTTTTAAGAACATATTTTACAAATTATTTCACAAAAAACTGTAAATTTGTTCATAGAAGTCTAATATTTAGATATTTTTGTGGTCTACAAGCCCGACAAACTTGATACATCTACTTGCTATAGTTTCAGAAGTTCGTTAAATATCAAAATAAAAAAACAAAAATGTCATAATAAACTACTTATGAAACAACGCATATTTTAAAAATTTTTCTCATGACATTACTCAAAGATATAGTAATTTAAAAGAAAAGATTTCATTAGGAAAGAATACCCCTGTTTATTAATGCACTTATAAGAATGGCATGGAAAGATGTTTCAACTTCAGGAGTTTTCAAAGATATTGAGGTTTTACTGAAAATCAAACCTGCACCATTTACATGGTAAGCCTGTAAGCATACTTTCATTTCTCTATTCAAGCGCAAATATAAATAAAATATTCACTGTGTTTTTTGGGATTCCCAAAAATGTCCAAGTGTTTCATGGAATGTATTAATTGAAAGATCAGTTCCAATTTGAGGGGCCATGACATTACCCAGATTGATTAGGAAATATCCATTCTGATGATCATAGATTTCGGAGAACATGGATTTTGTGATTATAAATACGTATTTGGTATCACTGACAAAATGCGGATTGTGGCAAAATGCGAGAATTGACATGTAAAGAAGTAAGAAAAATGCCTTTTTGTTCCCAGGGACACACAAAATGCGTTTTTCTGTTCAAAATGGGCATTTAGTTTTTCAGAAGCTTTATGGAATTTTCTCTCCATAGCAGATATGAGACAGTAAAAGTAATCACTTTACGTAACACTATTTCCTTTGAATTGAACTCTGCAGACTGAGAACATTTTGTTGTTAGAGTCACAAGAGTCAGTGTCTTATAATTCATTAAGATTCATCGAGATTATCAAAATATTTCTGCAAAAGTATTCAACATGTTTTTACACATTGGAGGTCTCATTGTAACAAAAATTATTTTAATGTTATTCACAGCATATTAATTTAATGTTGTTCACAGCACCAAAACTTATTCCACTGATCTCAGTAATGTACATAAGAATTCCAGAGGTTTCCTAGCCTTAGACATTTTAGCTCTAGATCATTTTGAAATATTTGTTGGGAGCCTTCTATAATCTGCCATAGAAAAAATAAAAATAAGTAAGTTGATGGAATATGATGTTTGGGAACATTAATAAACAATGTTTACATTTCCTGGAGGATATGTTCTCAAAATAAAACAACGCCGTACACATGAATTATGAGAAAAAAAGATCTTAATATCCAATATTAGTTCACATTAATTTGAACACTACTGTACAAGAAGTCAAGAGGTAGCTTGTCATACTTGCACAAAATAATTAAAAAACAGATTATTATACAACCAAAACCCCCCCATACACACGCACACACACACAAAATTCAAAAAGCAGATTATTGTACAACCACAACCCCCCATACACACGCACACACAAATTCTTTCAATACATTTCATTTTCAAAAACAATTAAATAATAATTATTCAATAAACATTAATTAGTAATATGTTCCGTGTTTACTTAATGGATTTAAAAAAAAAAAGATATAATAATTTAGAATAGTTTTAATCGTTGTATTTTAATTTTCATCTTGTTAGATTTAGGTGTTAGAGTCAGGCATTTTATAATAATGTTTAAACCACAACAATTTTGTCATTAGGATGTAAGATAGCGTTTTTCAATATCAGTTCTGGTAACCTCACGATGTAAGAAATCAAGATATAAAATGTTATTACCATTTGTGTGAAACAAATGATGGTCATAAAAAATAGAGGTTAAATTTTACTAATATAAATATTACTGACAATCAAAAAGTTGGCATTTCATCTGCTGAAGGAGTTTGTTATTAGAGTGTTTACTATATTTTACAGTACACATTTTTTATCAATAAAATTGAATAATAAAGTACAACAGTATTTCTACCAATCATGAGAGAATTTTCACAAAAATAACAGTCCATCTATTTTTAATACATTCTCATTAAATGATGTATTCTCTGGTAAGTTGGAATTATACCTCCATTCATATGGATTGAAAGATGAAATATTACTCATGACAGAAACAATAACCAAGGCAGGATGTTATGGATCACAAGACAAAGTTGGACAATCACAATTTCTAACAGTCTACTCTTTACACTGAACAAATACTAAATCAAATACTATTCTAAACTGCGTAGAAAAGATTACATGTGAACAGTTTACGCTGCTCACGTGTGATCTTTCATAAATTTTATTATCGGGTACTTTCTCGGTTTGGCAGACTTAGATCTCGGAAATCTTATTTCTGTAGCTTTAATTCTGTTTTCCGTCTTTTTTAGTTATAATCCAATTTTCACTGGAACACAGCTACTTGCAATGTATGACTTTATAGATTTTCTTTTGAGTTTCTATTTGTTTTAATTTTTAAGTATCATTTTATAGAACCACCATTGAATTTTTCGAGTTTTTAATTTTTAAGTACTTTTCTGTAGTAGGATATGTAGCATCCTAAGAATGTAAAATTTGATACCTATTCAATTGATTTATTCTCAAGGTAGATCTTATTGCCTATTTGATCGAACATGCCAAAACTTTGGATTTTTCCTGTGATATTCTCAGATTATATTCTTTTAACACTATATTCAATTCTTAGAGCACCCTCTACAGTGTATTTTCATAAGTTCATTTTGAAGAAAATCTGAATGGTTTAGGTGCTAGCATTGATCACAGACGTACGGACACATAAGACATGCCGACAGTAGATTTTTCGGTATTGAGGTCCTACAATACACAGATTCTGGCAACACAACATATTAGAGGAAGAACTTTATTACACTTAGGAACAAAATTTATCCACTTCCTTGTGTCCAGGGCCCTGCAATGAGGACTATTCTGCTGAAAAATTGCAGTTTTCTAGCACACAATTACAATACTTTCTCTTCTTACAAGATGAGAAAGTCATTACAGTATTCAAAACAAAGGTGTAGCAGAAGTCTGGAAACTAGGTGCTAAAAGAACAAATACTTTCTCATGTAATTTCTAACAATTATTTAATATCGCTTGAATCTGCAAAATTTCCCCCCACTGCGATTCAAACTACTACCATACTTAGTATCTTCTTAGTTATCAGCATATCCACTATACCAAATAGCTTAAGCCACATAACAACCTTCCAGATGTTTTAAAAGGGAAGTTGAACATGTGCAAATAAATTTACATGACATTACTTAAAGATTTAATTTTGAAAAACAGATATCATAAAGAAACCAGTGGTACTAAAAGAGCATGTACTTTCTCACCCATATTTCTGAGGCAAAAGTATGTGAAAAGTACTCAAATTTTCGAAAAATCGTATGTGACCTTATTTTAAAATCTATCTTTAAGGAATATATTTCATTAAAGTAAGAAATCTCTATCTTTAATATCTTAGTTGTACGAAGACTCAAAAAAAATTTTGAACTTTCACAATTTTCAAAAAATCAGGGTTTTTAAGAACATGAAAACTGCACCTTTCTCTTAAACATCCTTCACTCAATCCAACAAACAAAATTTATTCCAAATTATGATGGAGTCATTTTTTTTGAAAATTTGGAAAACATCCCAAGGGTTTCGCGTAAAGTACCCCCCCAAAATTAAAATATCAACTTCAAATTCAAGGTGCTGGGACATCAGCCAGATTGACTGAGGAATATCAATTTCGGAGAAGATTGGCTAAATGGTTTGGTAGATATTAAATGGACTGATAG